GAATGGAGTGAGGCTGGGGGTGGGGATGGCGGGTTAGAGGGGCATCCGCCATCTATGGCAGGGACTGAAGGAACCCACCACCGCAGCTTGGTTTGCTGGAAAAAACCTCAGTGTTTTGGAATCAGAATTCAGCTCCATGGTGGCCTTGGGCACAGGCCTCGATTTCTGCTTCTTTAAAATGGGTGTGTTTTTCCTGCGTTGGAGGGTTCTATGCAGGGCAAGGAGTGTGACAGCTATGATTGCTATGACGATTAGGCTGTGCCTCCTCCTGCCTGGCTCTCAGCCTCCTGAGTCCTTAGGTGGCCACCTGTGCCCATCTGAAGACTCAGCCAGCCCCTGGCCTCTAGGGCAGAGGTTCTTTGACATGGACCCGATAGAACTGGTTCCTTTGGACCTTAGGAAACCCAGCCGGACCTGCACACAGGGACTCAGCATCAACTCATCCCCTCTGCTAGTCCATCCCTCACTCTGACCTGATTCCTGAGAGGCCTCGCCTGGACCCCTATCCTGCCCTCTGGGCCCAAGGTCCCCTCTGAGGAATCAGATTATTCCCAGTTCCACCCAGGAACTATGATTCTGCCCCAGGACCTGCATTCCACAAACAGGGAGCAAGACTGGATTTCAGACCCACCGCGTTGCCAGAGCACCCCACTACTCTCCCAGGGGTCTCCCCAATGCTGACTGTCCTCTCCTATTGTCAGACTCAAACTGTCACATGCCCTATTCCAACTGGGCTGCACACAGTTTTGCTTGTAGACCTCCTAAAAGAATTTTGAACAACTGGGTACCAATTAATTTCCATCAAAGAGTTGAGTAAGTGTTGGGTGAGGGGACTGACAAACAAAATGGATGCAGTCAGGCTCCATCCCAGCAAGCCGTGGGGTTGCCTACAGCTTTAGCTACAGCGTCCTACATAGCCCTAGCTACAGCGTCCTATACAACCTGTAGAACGCATGCGCACTGTGATTGATTGTGATTGATTATAGTACCAAGCCTTAAGCCACTATTAAGCACCTTGTTCTAAGAACAGCCCTGCCTGTGCAGGCCAAGAGCTGGAGCTGTGCCTGTGCCTTGCTGTGACCTGCCGCTATGCCTGAATAAAGCTATGTCGCATCTGCCCACGGCTCCTCACATATTCATCCAGCTGCCAGAACCGCGCACCCCAAGCTTCGGTACCCCGAACCTGCAGAACAATAAGTATACGTTTAACGGGAGGTAGAACGTATTAAACACTTTAGAGAAAGAAATAAGATGAAGACTGAGCGTAATCAGAAAATACATGTCATGATATGACTTGAAAACATCGACTGGATAAGCACACTGACCATGAAAAAAATTATATAAAATTTTTATCTGTGAATTTTAATCCATACATCTTGACATTTTTTAATAGATCTGCAAAACGTTCCAGTTACACTTAAAAGAGTCGGCATCACTAACGGTCTTTTTAAAAAAAAAATAATAATGTGGATTTATTAATTTTTCATTATAAAAATATACATTCATTAAAGAAAATGTGGCAAGCAGGAAAGCAGAAAAATTATCATATGGCCAGATTTCTTTGTGTGCTTCTTTTCTTTTTCTTTTGACGTAATTTCAAATTTGAAGAAAAATTGGAAGAATAGAGCAAGCACTCCCATGTACCCTTTACCCATATTCACCGATTTGTTGATATTTTGCCCCGCGTGCTGCATCATTATTTCTAGATTGATATACATTTATTTGCATATTGGTCTTCTTCTGAAGCGCTTGAGAGTCAGTCATGAGATACTAGTACCAAATACTTGGGCGTGAATTTCCTGAACAAAGAGATGGTCTCTTTCATAATCACAGTAGGAATTGCAAAATCACAAGATTTAATATTAAAACAGCACTTTAAAAATAAATTACAAATAAAATAAAATTTCGTCTAATCCGCACTCCATATTCAAATTTTGACAATTTTCCCAATGATGTCTTTTATAGTTTTTTTTTTCTTCTCCCCAGAATCGAATCCAGGACCACGCTTGGCACTTGGCTGTCATGCCTCCAGAAGATCCTGGACCTCTGCTTCGACCTTTCTTTGTCTTTCTTGAACTCAATGCTTGTTGAAGACTACAGGCTAGTTATTTTGTAGAACGAAAATGCTCCATAATAGGGCTTGGGGTGGATAAGGGGCTGTCTTCCTTTTACGAGTGGGAGAGAGGTTATTGGTCAGGTGCTGCGTTC